TTTTTTTTTGTCTTATAAAAGCTTGCCTTCTTTGGAATAATGGCTTTTCCATTCCAACAATAGAGCCTCAGTTAACTTGGTTCCTTCTCTTCTAGGCTCAAAATAAAATTGAATATTTCTTGGGTAAGGGGCTAAATTGAAAGTCTCTGGCAAGTGAAGAGAGCCATTTTTCTAAGGGACCACCAGTAGCTTTGTGAGCTTGGTGATAGATTTCAAGCTCAACCAGGGAGATGAAATCCTTCATTATCTGAACAATTATACGTCCATCATGAACCATTTGGGGTTGTCCTCTTTGCTGGATGGGTCATAATTGGGATTGTTTTTCTCAGATTGTGTGTGAGCTGTGTAAGCCTCCTTTATAATCTTCATAAGTGCTCTGATGCCTGGCTCTTTGCAGTTACTATGATAGAAGTCTTCATCCTCCAGCTCCACTGCTTTAAGGAAGTTCCAAGCTTGGTAGTCTCAAACACCATCCCAGCATGCTGTCTGCTTGGACTGTGCTTTGAGATCCTCAGTGCTGAACTTCACATCTACACCTTTCTCTAGTCGGCTCTCTGGCTCCAACTTCATCAATCAATAGTTGCTTAGAGTCTTCCCACAGATTTTTGCATCTGAAGTCTTCTCCATTTGAGCTGATATCTCATCTGAATTCTCAGTTTTGGTGTGTTTTCCTGATAGCCCCCTCTCGTCCAGTCACTGTGCTCCTGGTGCACGCTGTAGGGCTCCCCTTCTCTGAATTCTTGTCCACATGGCTTCTTACTGACTCCTGGGCCACTTCAGTCATGTCAAATCCCTAAGCAACTTAGTGTGAGCAGTCTAAACCCAGCCAGATCCTTGGGAATGAGAGGGAACCAATGAAAGAGGTATCTCTGGTACCCAGGAGGCAAGACAGGCTGAAGGGAACTTTGGACTGAAAGTCAGGAGGTCTAGTTTCCTGTTCTTATCATGTGTCTCTCAGGCTTCAGTATCTTATCAGATCCTAGTTTTGGGGGCGTGAGCAGAGTAATTAGAAAACCTGTAAGATTCCTTTTATCACCCAGACTCCATGATTTCAAGCAGGGTCCTATAACTTCCACCTGGAGATAAATTCCCTTGCTGTGGAGGGGCTTTCTCTGGGATGAGGTTACTGGTGGGCTGGCCATTCAGATGCAGTTGTGTAGCAGTTGTTCTTTGCTAGGTGGGAGCCAGGCTCAGCTCTTCTCTCCTTAGTCTGCATGCTCTCCCAGGGCACTCTCCTTTGGCCTTGCCCTATCACCCAAACTGCCCTGAGCCTTGCCTCTGGCATCTCGTGGCCAGTATTGGAGTATCTCCAGTTCAGTAGGTCCTGTTACTGCTGTGTCCATCTTCTTTCCAAGCCCCTCTTGCTAAAGGTCCCCCTTCAGCGTGAGTCATCACTATCCACATGGCCACACAAACTAGAAACCCCAGGGAAGGCCAGTCAGTGTGCGTCTTCTCTCCCATTGTCTGTTCCCTCAGCACCATGTGCAAGCAGAAAACAAAGTGCATGCTTACTATCTCAAATCCACCTGTGTCTCATCAGTCCCAGTCCCACTGCCTCTACCTTAGCTCATGCCTCTGTGACATCGCTCTGGGTCACTTTTCACCCCCACCACTCATTCTCCAGCCAGCATACCTCCAGTGAGGTCTTCCCCAATCTCCTTGGAATGGAACCCAAGCCTCCGGGTATGGCCACAGAGCCTCTGGCCATCTTGCTCCTGCCGACCCTCAATGCCCTTCACTCCAGCCAAAGTAAATGTGTGGCTTCCCTGTCTTGTCAGTTCTCCCTCCACCTGGATGCCTCACTCGTGCCCAAATTCTGCCATCCCTTAACCTCCTCTCCTGGGAAGTTCTTCCTCCTTTGAGATTCAATCAGAGGTCCTTACTCTGGGAAGCCCTTCTTTGCCCAACCCTTGTCTCCAGAATATTGCTCACCCATTGTACTGGAATCGTCTGACCCTTTGCACCCCTCCCCTCACCACCCATGTACCAGAAGATCATGGGGCTTGATTTCTGAGCCCTTTTTCTCAAAGCTCCAGCACCCAGCAAGCATGTCTGTGAATGACTGAATGTGTGATCAAGGGGGTCCTTAAGGGGGTCCCTCTGCATCTCTGTGTTATGTGCTAGGGTTTGGAATGCATATCATGTGCCATGGAGTAAGGAAGAGGCTTTACTGGGAAGAGTTATATAAGCCAAAGCTCAATAAGAAAAGTCACAGGTCCCCTAGTCCTCCATCCCACAAAGTGGTGTGTCAAGTCCAGGATACTGCTAAGCCCGAGAGTATGCATCCCAAGAGAGATTCTTCTGTCCCCATGGCCCTCACTTTTTATAGGGCAAATTAAGCAAAGGAAAATGGTCTTGTGGATGAGGAAATAAACAGACTGCTTGGTGCCAGGCAGTCTGGATTGGGGATGCCAACTGTTTATGAGAGGCTGCCTGAGAATGCCAGCTTCCCAGCATACAGGGCCCTCGGAGCCTTTGAGAAATTGCTGTTCTCCCTGTGAGGGGAGAAGAGACTCTGAGATTAGCATCTGTCTCCTCCAGAAAGTTCATTGTCTAGACAGCCCAGAGGGGACTCCAGGCTTGGGTTCTGACACTGTACCTGTTTTTACATTAGTCATGGATGACTGAGTGGATGGATGAATGGATGGATGGATGGATGGATGCAGGCATGCATGAGCAAGTGAAGGAAAGTGTAAAAAACCATGAGCTCATATATGAATGCATGAAAGCACCTGGCACCCAGTGGCACCCAACTTGTGTTTGGTTTCTGGGCGTACATACAGGGGTATCCCTGTTGTTTGGTGCTAACTATGACATTTCTGAACTGTCATGGGGGTAGAGTGAGGGGACTGGGAGTAAGTGACTGTTTAACAGCTCCTCCCCCTGCCACCTTCCTTGAGTATCCTCCAGTTGCATCAGGCCTTTTGTAACATGTCTTCCCTTTCACCACTGCCCTGAGATACTCCAAACCTATATCACCTAATTTGAAAATTGCTGCCCTCACACAGAGTGGAGATTTCCTAAGTCAGAGTCCCCAAGCAGACACAAGCCCAAACTAATTTTATGTTGCTAAAATGGGTAGGAAGTAAAGGTTGTGTCTACCTCTGAGGTGCTGACTAGGTCTGGGCCTTCATTAAATATATGAACCAGTGGTTCTTAAACGTCCAGGTGCCTCTCACACACCTGGAATTGTCTGTAATGCACACTGCAGGAGATCTGCTGCATTAGGTCTTGGTGGAGCCTGGAATTCTGCAGTTTTTGCTGTAGCATCCTCAAACTGCTTCACCCAGAGCTGGGCACTCAGTGAGGCCAGCACTCACTAAATGTCCAGGGTTAGGTGAGACTGCCTGGGGACTCAGGGTGCCCATTCTGTGTGTAGCCACCCTGTTGGATCCCCAATACCCCAGGCTGGCGCACTCTCCCAGCAGGCTGGGCAGGAGGAGGTGGGACTTCTTGGGCCTGCCCTCTCTGAGATGTGGGTGGACTAGTGGGAGGAGAGAAATGGGTTGGAGGGTGCTGCACCCAGTGCGTTCTAGGGGTGTGAGGGGCCTGCCATGCTTTGGAGGACCTGCACCTGAATGCAGTGTGGATGGGTGTTCTGGGGTTCCTGGGGGAGAGAGCCGAAGCCACTGCAGAGGGGATCAGTGGGGCATGAAGGCGAGCAGGCAGCCTTCCCTGGTGAGGCCGCTAAGGCTCTGTGCTGGGGGTGCGAGAGGGAAACAGTGAATCAGCACCTGGAGTCGCTCGTTCTAATCGAGCAAAGAGTCTGTCTTGGCCTCCCAGGGACAGCGCTGCATCCTTAAATACAAAGCCTTTCTCTTAGCAGCGGGAGAAAAGAACTGGCTTTCTCAGCCACGGCCTGCCCAGTGCCCACCCCACCCTCAGACTGCTGGTTTTCTCTGCTGACCTGGCCTGTGTCGTTGGACAGAGTTTTATTTTCTCAAGAAAGAGATTTCAATTGTCTGGATCTGTGTGTGAGAGCAGGTTGCCTCTATTTGGCTGCTATGAAGAGATCTTCAATGGCTTGATTTCTTCGTGGCTGTGGCTTTGCTCTGGTATTTCAGGGAACTCAGCTAGTGTCTTCCCCAGAACCATGTCTGTTACCCTGGGGGTTAGTGACTGCTACATTGTGGCATGGTTTTCCTGGAGTTCTGCTTCACACCCTTTCCCAGCATCTTCTCTGTCTTTATATTGATTCCCTGCAGATCAAGACATTATGAATTCTCCTCTAAGAAGGTACAATAAAATGTTAACTAGTTAAATGACGCTTTTCCTTAAAAATGTGAATCATTACACCTCCCTAATATTTACATTTTAACAGGGAACCTTTGAAGACATTTATATAATACACACACACACACACACACACACACACACACACACATATATCCTGCAATTCCTAGTAGACTGAGCTCTAATGGTGGAAAAATTTGTGGATTTGATAATTCGGCTTGGAGTTCCCACTCCGCGTCCCTCTAGGTCCTAATGCAAAGGCGCAGCATTCTCTTCCATCCATAGACATGTGTCACTTAACAATGGGTTATATCCGGGATATGTGTCCTTAAGCCGTTTCACCATGGTGCAAACATCATAGAGTGAGTTTACACAAGCTAAGATGGCTTCAATGGAACTTGGTGGCAGAATACTTGGGGACCACTGTTGTGTGTGCAGTCTGTACAGTGGTGCCTCGGTTCATGAACACCTTTGTTTGCAAACAGTTTGGTTCACAAACAAGCATTTGACAAAATCCTGTTTTTGCTTGCAAACTCTGCATCAGGTGATGAACACAACCGCAGCCATCTTTCCCACAGGAACACAAACATGGCCATCTTTTCCAGAATTGTGGAACGAATTAAGTTCATGAACCGAGGTACCACTGTAGTTAACTGACATGTTATTATGGGGTACATGACTATCCTTGTGAGATTTGCTGGTTCAGAACTTTCCAATTCCCTAACCTAACAATTTGTTTTTCTTTCTTTCCTATTTTTGTTTCCTAGGAGCGAGTGGAATATCTCTTTCTCATAATTTTTACTGTGGAAGCATTTTTAAAAGTTATCGCCTATGGACTTCTCTTTCACCCCAATGCTTACCTCCGCAATGGTTGGAACTTACTAGATTTTATCATTGTGGTTGTAGGGTAAGTATTGCTGTCTTTCTCCCGTCCCTTGCCTTACCTATACATATCTTTTTTTCCTTCTGTATTCATATCTCTTTTTGATTTTGTTATAGCTGTACTTGCCTTCAGCCACAGTGAAAGGATTTGTTAAAAATCAGTTTGAATTCAGACTTTCTCCAGAGAGAGAGGAGCTATTACCCAAGATGCTTCTCACCACAGCTCCCATGTGCATGATCACATGCAAACACACATCCACATGCACACATCACACCCACACATATATACATATAAAAACATGCACACACACTTCAATCTGAGTGTACTTAGTGGAACCAAAGTCTCCCATGCCACTGAGGTAATTCTTTTATTTAAGCACTTTTATCCCCTCTCCAGCCACATCTGACCCAGCAAGCTCCTGACCAATTGCCCTGCTATATACTGAGTAGAACAATCAGCTTGCCTGGGAGCATGCAGTCCATGGGCACCGGCTAAGGCAGGTGCATAGGATGTCTATGCATACTGCCCTCCCCCATTCTCACCTCCACAGTGACTTTGTGCTGTGACCCCAAGAAACTGCTCAGCACAGCTGGCTGAGAAGACCAGTAACTCTGAAAGGCCAAGGTGATGGATAACTAAACCCGGACCAGAGAGACCATCCCCCAAACACTACTTCATGTTCGTGTAGGACATCAGTAGAAGCTTTAAAAAAGCAGTGTCAAGGATCTTAAATAAAATTTTGAAATGATGATGTCCTTATCAAGAAATTGGTGACTGCATGAAAAGATTCTCCATAAAATATTTGTACCTGACAGGCTTACATATGCTGTGCAAAATATAATTCATTAAGATGGAGTGGATGAAGTTCCAACAACTCATGTGTTTTGTAGAAGGGGTCGCCTTTACAGCAGCTCCCACTTCCGGAAAGGCTGCCTCCTCTGAGCCAACGTGGTGTCATCTGGAGCCCGGTGGCCACCCAACACTCATTCTCCCCAGTCCCGGTAGGCTTCAGTGTCAAGGGCAGGATGTTGGAGCCTCTTATCCCAGGAACCTATTTTTGGTGAAACCTTCTGTGCTGTCGCAGTGGAGACCCAGGCCATTGTGAACTTCTCCAGGGACCTCGGAGCTGATTACCTTCAGGGAGTGCCTGGTCTTTACTGCAGGAAATAACACAAGAGCAAATCAAGATCATTCACAACTTATTTCCTTGCCTATGGCCATCTGAATGGTCAGAAGGGTTGTTTGGAGCTGTGTTGGGGTTTGTCTTGTGTTGTTCTCATGTTGCCTGGCTAATAAGTGACACACTTTGGCCACATGGACATCAGGGATATTTGGGTGACCTGATCCGAAGAGCACTAAGGTTATTGGTTATTAGTTAGCTGTAGATCTGGCTACAAAGGACTCAGGGTTGGGAGGTACAGTGACATGATAAGTTTTGCCTCTTCTGTTCATGCCAGAATACACACAGAGTGGCTAAACAAATGCCTTAAATGAACTCAATGAACCACAGTAGAGGTCCTGAGGATGGGTAGTTCCAAATGCCCCTAAGCCCTTTTTAAATTTGGCCTCTTCCTCAAAGCCTAGGAGCCTGCAGTGCATGCATTGACTAGAGCCTGAGAAATGAGAGCTGATGCTTTGGGGCCAGTGGAGAGATGAGGCAATTTGCAAGATGCATTTTGTCTAGGCAGAGACATTACATTTTCTACTCATGTTTTTGGAAGGAGTTGGATTTGACTCCATGTGCTCTGCCCAACTCATGGGAAGAGGAAACAAGAAAAGTGGGAGCCCTTGAACAGGAGCACTGAGAGGTAGGGGCTAAAGCTCCCTGCTCGGTCCCAGGGAGCCTGTGCCTCACTGGCCCACACATGCTCACCTACAGCTTCTTTGTCCCTCTCTGCATCCCTTAGATTGTTGCTCCTCCCATGGGGAGCAGACTGTTTATGGGGCAGCCCAGCTTCTCCCTGAGGTTTAGGCCATACTAGGGAGGCAGCCAGATGTGGCACTGTCCCAAAGATGCCTCTGTTTGGCTTTTGAAAGCCCAGGGATTGTGATGCTGACACTTGCTTGGCTTGTAGTTCACAACTTTGGGGTTTGTTCCTCTTTACCTGTAGCCTCTAGTTTCTCTTCTCCAGGGCAATGAGACTTAGGGCTTCTCCATGCGGTCTCAATTTCAGGTCATCCTTACAACTAGAGAAATAGTCCGCCATCCCCAGAGGGTAGAGCTCACCACCTCTCTCCAGCAGGGCCTCTTTTTTCTGCCCCTTTTGCAACACTGAATGGATATCCCTTTGATTTCCTGTGTTCTTTGGAAAATGAGAAGGTGGCTTGCCTGCCTGATACAGCCACACACACACACACACACACACACACACACACACACCCCCGCACATGCACGCACACCTTCTCTGCATTGCCATTTTGGTGGCATGTGACAAGAGACATTTCCTTCCCAAAGCAGAAGAGTCTCTTGGGTAGATGGGACCACTGAATGTAAGTGGAAGGGACTTTAGAGACCTCTCAGCCACCGACCCCTGCCCCAACTGAAGACATGAGGACCCTTCAGTAGATCCCCCACTCAAGAGATTCTACCCTAGCCAGAAAGCCTTTTGTTTTGTCCTAGCTCCTTAGCAATATGGCAGCCTTGCCTCTCTGATTCTTTTTGTTTTTGTTTTTATTTTTTTGGTACCGGAGATCGAACTTGGGACCCTGCGCTTGCAAGGCAGGCGCTGGAACCACTGAGCTAAATCCCTAGCCCTTCTCTGATTCTGTTTGTTTGTTTGTTTGTTTTTGATACCGGAGATTGAACTCAGGACCTTGTGCTTGCTAAACCCTGAGCTAAATCCCCTGCCCGCCTCTCTTATTCTTGAGCCCTCTTGAACCTCTTAAAATCTCTAATATAACCAGGCACAGAGATGTATATCTATAATCCCAGCACTCTCGGGAGCTGAGGCAGGAGGGTCATAAGTTCAAACCCAGTCTGGGAAACTTAGCCAGACCCTGTCTCAAAAATAAAATAAAATAAGGCTGAGGATGTAGCTTAGGGGAAGACCCTGGGTTCAATCTCTAATACTGAAAAAAAAAAACAACCTCTAATGCCCTGCTGCAGTACTGCCAAACTCAACTCCTTTGAAATTCCAGCCAAGCACCCACAGCAGAACCCAGTGTTTAGGGAATGGGAGCACAAAGCCTTGGTCTCACCCTTATACTGCCTAACAGAGAAAAACACAGCAAGCCCTCCAAGCCAAGAACATCTCCTGCACCCATTCATGAGTTTCCTACCCCTTCAAAATTAAAATCGGACACTTAATAAAGACACTCAAGCTGGCGGTAAGGATTAAAAGAGAAGAAAGTAATCTAATCTCTGCTCCTTTTTACCAAATAATATTTTGTGAACATCTTGTACTCCAATAAGCATATTGCTTTCTTCCAGGAAATACTGGGAACAAAATCTGGTTTGGATTTGGCCTGTTGTTTGACCAACTTGCAAATTGGTCTCCATTTCTTCAGGTTTCAGGGATCTAGATTTCAGTGGAAAGAACATTTCCCTCACAGAGGAAGAAACCCTCTCCCCCATCCTGCTAATCCAAGGCATAGGAATTCAAGGCATAGGAATCCAACTAACATGTGAAGCCATCATATTGGCAAACTGATTCAAAGAATTTAAGAGCTGGGAGATGTTAGATATGGTCTGGCCAAGGTTGTCAACATGTTTTATATTTTGTTTTTGTGGTGCCGGAGGTGGAACCAGAACCTCACACATGCTAGGCAAGTCCTCTGCTACTCCGCCCCATCTTCACCCCCAGTCTCCCCGCCCTCTTACGAATGAGTCAGAGCCTCACGCAAGCTACACAAATCTTTTTAACTACAGAATCTATTGTTCAAAAAAAGTCTTACTCAAAAATAAAAATAAAAAAATAAAAAAAAATTTTTTAAATGTCTTACTCAGAGGCCCAATACCTAAAACAGATAGAAGGGAAGCTGTTCTGCAAAACGTGGGTTAGAGGCACCAGAACCCAGATATGTAGCTCTGGCTTTGAAGCCCAGGAAGTCCCTGAGGGATTCCGTGGAGCAGTTTGAAAACCCTTAATGCAGACCAAGCCCCTCATTGCCCAGCCTTATGTGGCTCTGAGCTCCTGCAAAGCTAAGCCCCGAGCTGCCCCTGTTCCCCTGTTCCTGGATCCAGCCCCTGGAGCATTAGTTATTCCAAGAGCTCAGGCCTGTCATTCATTCAAGAATGAAAGTTGTCCAGGCTCATCATTCACATGTGGTATGGGGACCCAGTCCTTCTAGCTGACCTTTCTCCCCCATCCCAGGTCACACTAAGGCAGAAACAGGACTCCTCACACACTAGGCATAAACGACAGGAACTACTCCCACTGTACTTCTCCCCGTTTTTCTCAGTTGCCACCAGAAGCCCGGAATTCCTGGACTGCCTCGTCAGGCAGACTCGTTCCTGTCTGGCTCTGTGCAGCCTCAGGTCTCAGCCCCTTCCTATCTCACCTAACTCCTGTGACCTTCCCATTGTGCCGCACCCTCTGTTCCCACAGACAGCCACTAATTCAGGGGTAGCCAGATATTGTCTGGAAAGGGCCAGATGCTCGCTTTCAGCTTCGTGTGACATGCAGTCTGTTTCCCACTGCTGGTGTCTGCTGCTGTAGCAGGAAAATGGTGATAGGTAAATGAGAGCATGTAACTGAATTTTAATACAACTTTCTGTACAAACCAGGTGACCCAACTCATGTGCTAAATCCTCAGCTTTGTTTCTGGTCCCTCTCTTCCCTTTCTGGCTCTCCCTCAAGCTCCTTACTGCCCTGCAGCTTCTCAGGAGGCAGCCAGTTTCTCTCCCAGATGCCTCATTCTGATGGAGATGGGGAGGGGCCCTACCTTCTCATTTCTGAAACCCTCCAACGTCACTCTTTGTGCCCCTACACCTTATAGCAGTCCTCTGTATGCCTTTGAATCACTCCTCAGTAAACCTTGAAGTTGTGAACTCTGGCTCACTTCCGCTCTCTCCAGCACTCTACTTCTGCCATCATGCCTGCATTCTTGGTTCCTTGATGTCTTCTCCTGGGATCCTGACTTCCACCCTGTCTCAGCTCCCCACTCCCCTGGTTATAGCCAACATCCCCATCATAACGAATAACTACACCCTGCCCGTAATCTGAGATCTAACATCTTGCTCTAACCCAACACCACCTCTCTTTCCACCTTCCTCCAGTTTGTACCCTGACTCCAAAAATTCATGCACCCTGCCCTCATGTGCACTCTTCCTTCCGACCAACTTAGATGCTGTGCTCCGTCATTAAAGCCACTCACAGGAGTGTATCCTCAGCTTCTGTATTCCCCTCTTCGTTTATTTGCTCCCCTAGAAGAATACCAGTTCTAATAAAATCCAACTACGTAGAGACCGACTTGATACTGAAAAGGATAGAGAAACATACAAAGCCTCTCATGACCTCCAGCCTCAAGTCTGGCCTTGATAATATCTGCCCATCCTACCTCATGTCCTTACTCCATTCATTCTTCTACTTTCTTAGATGACTCTTTTATACTTTTGCCTGCCTCTTCACATTTCCAGTACCCTCTTCCTCTCTCACATTTTTAGCTGATGACCTTGGTAACTCTTTTCCTGAGAAAACAAATACAGTCATCTCTGCCCACAGTCCCATCCGTATGCTTCTATATGGCTTCGAATCCAAACCATGTTCAACTGCTTCTTCCCCTGAGGTAACACCTTTAGTGTGCAGTAGATTGCCCTCCTGCCCTCTGAAGAAATCACTTCTTTCAGGAATTGTTTCCTTTTGCTTCTGTGCCATCAGATTTTCTTTCTCTGTTAGATTATTTCCATCACAAAAAATATACTATGTTATCTCCCCATCAAAATTCTCTTGACTCCACACCCACTTCTAATAACCACCTTTTTATTCTGCTCATTTTTACAGTAAAATTCCTCAAAAGAGTTGTCTATACAATAGCCACTAGCTTCCTGTGGCCATTTGGCACTTCAAATGTAACTAATTTGAAGTGAGATATGCTGTAAGTATAAAATGCACAGCATATTCCAAAGATTTAAATAAAAAGGAATGACAAACTCATTAATAATTTTCAAAATATATTACATGAATGACAATGTTTTGTTGGATTATTTTGTTCTTTTTTGGTACCAGGGATGGAACTCAGGACCTTGCGCTTGCAAGGCAGGCGTAGTGTCACTGAGCTAAATCCCAGGCCCACTGACAATGTTGTGACAATATTGAGTTAGATAAAAATATGCTACCAAAGTTAATTTCACCTGTTAGTTTTTACTTTTTTATGTGGCTACTAGAAAAGTTAAATTGCATATGTGGCTCCCATTTGTGGCTTACATTGTCTTTCCTCTGGAGAGGGCCGTCTATGCTCACTGCCTCCCGCTTCTTCTCCATTCTGTCTTCATCCTTTAACCTATTAGGCTTCTGCCCCATCACTCCACCAAACAGATGTTTCTAGGTCTCCATGGTCTTCATTTTGCTAAATCCCTCGGGCAGTCTCCCATCCATGTTATCCACAGCATCGGACAGAATTAACCATTGCCTTCTGACTGACTACTTTTTTCATGGTGCATCATTCCCTGCTTTTCTTCCCCAGCCCTACAAGTTACTCCATTTCAGCCTCTTTTGTTGATGTCTGTTCTAGCTGCCTGTCCATGTTGGAGGAGCCCATATTCATCCTTTCATATCTTTGCCTTCTTTAGTAGCTTCCTGGATGATTTTGCTTGACCTGGCCTTAAATATAATCTGTACAACTAACAAGTTTTGGACTCCAGCCTGAACTTTCCCCTTGACCTACAAACATAATAGAGGCAACTCAAGATATCCATTCAGGTGCCTAATGATCAGCTCCAGTCTCAAAAGGTTTACAGTCAAGGTGGCTGTGGCTGCCATTCCAACACTGCCCATCTTTCTCACTGCTCAAGCAAAATGTTGGAACCATCTTTTTATTCCTCTTTTCTCACACTTCACAACTAGTTCATCAGCCAACCCCATCGGCTTTGTCTTAAAGCCAATATGTGACTCTTTCTCACGGCCTTCAGCCCCACCCTCTGGTCTAAGCCCCCAGACCTCCTACCTGACTACTGCAGTAGCCTGCTTCTGGCCCTGCCCACTACAGCCTATTTTTCTCATTCAACGTCAGAGTGACTCTTTTAAAACTTTAGTCAGATATGTCACTCTCCTGCTCAAAATCCGCACTGGTTTCCATCACAGAGAGAAAGTAAATACCAATTGGGGTCTCTCTCTTTCCTCTCTGACTTCATTTCCCATCATCCTCCCCTTCTCCTCCTCTGCCCCAGCCATACTGGCAGCTTGTTGAGCCTCTAACTCCCTGCCCCTTCCTCGGGCATCAGCACCAACCCTTCTCTATCTGGAACAGTCACCCTTAATAGCTACAGGGTCACTCTCTCATTTTCTCCAGGTTTCTGCTCAAATGTTACCAGAGCAGAGCTCCATTCCAAGCCTTCTGTAAAAAGGAAGCCTCCCTATCACTGTAGGCTTCCCTCTGCCAGCACACTCTTGTTCTTAGCACTTGCCACTCTCCAATCATACAGTACCTCTTTACTGATTGCTCAGTTCCTGTCCTCTCTGTGTTTAAACTCCACGAAGGTAAGAGCTTTGCCCATTTTGCTGTAGCCCCAGGGTCTAGAACGGGGCCTCGTAGATAATAAGTCTTCCTGTTTGTTGGAGAAATAAATGTACAAGTACAGACAGAAAGTGTCCGAGCTGAAATCTCCATCTCAGTCACATGTCTCAATGTATGGTTTTGCTTCCACTTGTACCTTTTTTCACTGAACCATGAGGTCATTCATATATTCATTCAGCATATAACTTCTGAGCAGCTGTTGTGTGCCAGCACAAAGTGGACTTCTGTGAGATTATTTATGTGTGCCCTGGAAGAAATCAAAGGGAGAAGCTTGTTAGGAGGAAGACGGTAGGCATGGAGAGAGCATATGAGGTTCCTGGCATTCATGGGAGAGGGAGCTAGGCTACCATGGAGGGGGCAGAGGGCACCCCCAAAAAGACAGCACACATCCGCTGCTTTATACCTGGGTCCGGGATCCCCAACTTGCCCAAATCCAGATGTGTTCCCATGCCTTTCAGATGGCAAAGGGCCCACGTCTTCCCTTGCTCAGCCCTCTCTGAGCTGTTGTGACACTCTCGACATAGGTGATACCCCCACTGCGGGAATGTTGACTTAAAGCCATTTGTGGACCCTCCCACGATCGCACCTGTGGTGCCTGCAAACTGCTGGTTCAGGCTTGATGCAACGATCGGAGCCCCAGTGACAAAACCCAGTCCTAACACCTCCTTTTTACCCTCTTTTCTAGGCTTTTTAGTGCAATTTTAGAACAAGCAACCAAAGCAGATGGGGCAAATGCTCTAGGAGGGAAAGGCGCTGGATTTGATGTGAAAGCGCTGAGGGCCTTCCGCGTGCTGCGCCCCTTGCGGCTGGTGTCCGGAGTCCCGAGTAAGTAATGCCATTATTGCTGTCTACAGTATTTCTTTATTAAAACTTCGACTTCCCTTTGCTAAACTGCCAAGAACACTTTGCGTAGGAACCTGATCTCCTACCAATGGAGGGTTTCCTTCAAAATGAGTCCCTTTGATTTAAAGAACCAAGGTCTCATGCAAGTACATCAAAACACATGTTGTCCCTGCTCTTATGAACACCTGGACAAAGTTCACAGTGGCCACACAGCCAAAGGAAGGCAGCCTGCACAAAGAGAACAACTCCCTTGCCATCTGATCAGCCCGCAGGCCGAGGCAGGGATTTTAAATACATTTGCTGCAAAAGAGCCAAGGGATCAGAGCTGGCTAATCCCCAAGGCTCACCGGGGATTTTAGCCAATAAGATTATCTCTACCTTCTGTATTTTTCCAAAGAACATCAGGAAAGCATCACTGGATGTTCTAAAAGTTCTGCCTTGCCATTTCACTCAGCCCTGTCCTCCTTTCATGTCAAATGGGGGATCCCATCCAAAGCTCTCTATATAAAAACAATACCTGTCATGATAAGAACGTGTTTTCCTGTGGAGTGGTACTCAGCTTCCTTTTTCTGGTAAAGGGAGATATTGTCCATCCGGATATTGGCCAAATCAACAACTCTCTTTCTGCCCACTATGGATAGCCCACAGGGATGAGCATTGGGTACCTGCATCAGCTCCAGAAAACCCCCTCTCACGTGCTCCCGGAGAACTCCCTTCATATCCTTCAATTTGTGATATGCAGGGGAAATTCTGGGCTTGTTTGCTGTTATACTTGTAGGTCAGCTCCATCAACTCATGACTCAAGATACAGGAGACACATAAGCCTGGTGTGGAAGCAGACTAGCTTGGAGATGGGAGCAAGGATCAGGAAAACAAACAGGTCCTCTGAATACACTGCTCTTGCTACCTATGCTGTGCACTGAGCTGCTGGCTGTGTTTATGCTGTGCAGTGATATCTCTTAGAGTCATAAAACCATATGCACATGGAGAACCCTGTGTCAACCTGTTGGTCTCTTTTGCTGCATGCACAGCGACTTAACTAACCAGCAGCAGAGCCAGGACTAGAGCCAGATCTCCCAACTTTTAGTTCCAACACTTGCCTACCGTATTAGACTACCTCTTTTAAAAAATTAAAGGCTGTGAATCCTTGTCATATATTTTTACACATATATCAGGTCTCTTCAGTTATGTTAAAGGCCTCTTGAAGCTCAGAATTGTGTCTTATATTGTCTCTGATTTTTGCACAATGCCTAGATTGGTCTCTAGACAAGGTAGAGAATTTACTAAGTGAAAGCAGGAAGTTGATTGTTTTCTTTGCAGTGGATCTCTCTGGCCAAAGATTGTGAATGGTTTCAAGCTCCAAAGCAACACAGAGCTGAGCCACACAAGCACAAAACTGACTTTCTCTACTTGGCCCCAACCATTTTGGGGAGCTCAAGAACAGGAAGAGTATATATAATGACCAAGACCAATTCACTTTGGTGAAGCCTAAACAATTCAGCCATAACCTAATAGACTAGCATCAGCAGATAAGAAGAGTGAGTAAGACTGACTTTGAACATGATTTAAGGAGCTTATAATGCCACAGCCAATGTGTCAGTGATAGGAACTGTGAATTAATCCAAAGCTTCAGCAAACAAAGCTGCCATGGACATAATAAATCTTACCCTGTTATGTAAGTGCTTATTAGGGGCCTGGATTTCACAGCATTGTATTAGGGTTAGTGCATATTTTAAAGATAAACACCATCCTTTCACTTGAGGAATTTGACAGTATAATAAAATAATGCATCAGTCAGCTTTTGCTGCAGAAGAAACAATCCTAAATGCTCAGTGACTCACAATCAGACACATGTATACCTGGCTCATGGTACATGAGGAGGTTGGTCAGTATGGCTTATCTGGGCTCCACTGGACTCTGGACTGGACCAGCCAGGTTGTAGGAGCAGCCACTGTGCAGAACTTGTCCTCATGGCAGGGGCAGATGCTCACAAAAGGAGTTACGGATCTACATCACACAAACAATTCCATGCTTATTCTTGCATGTGGTTCACATCACATCTGCTTGTGTCCCATTGACCAGAGCAAATCACACAGCCAATCTCAAAGATAATAGGACAAAGAAGTACAGTCATCCTTCTATAAGTGCATCCATGGAATCAACCACTAGCTGATTGAAAATATTTTTAATTGCATCAGTACTGAACATGTACAGACATTTCATCTTGCTGTCCCCTAAACAGGACAGTATAACAACTATTTACACAGAATTTACATCATATCCCAAATTGTAACTAATCCAGAGAAGACATGGGAGGATGAATATATGTTATGTGCAAAAATTTTGCCATATTTATAAGGGAACTGATCATCCTGGAACTTTGGTATCTGCAGGGGGCCCTGGAACCCATCTCGCATGGATACTGAGGGACAGTTGTATACTCTGCCTACAGAGAAGCATGGACAAATAACTGGGAACAAATAGTGCAGTTGGCCACAAAGAAATTGAGATTATCACCAACAGAAATAGTTACAGCAATTACTCTAGTACAGAAGTTCTTCATTAAACATGCAGATATTGAGAGCGACTCATGCTTCAGTGCATTATAAAGGAGAATTAGATTAGACAGAGAATCTAGGGTTCCACAATAGAGGAAACTTCCTGAAGAAAGTGACTTGTCTCAATCTGCACATCAGAAATGGTAGAACTGAATTACGGTGGGCAGGAAGAGTTAACCCTCCTTGGAAGGATTTGGTCATTTTGCTTCATAGGGACTCTTCTGTCATTAAGGAAACTAGTCCCTCTGCTTGTGAGGCAGCCACCCTCCCACAGCAGAAGTGCTGTGAAGCATGCATATTGCACCAAAGGATAAGCCATATGGAACATAAACATTACACAATGAACGTGAACAATAAATATGGAGAGTTGTGATTAAATATTTGCAATGTATATGTAAGGAGTATATTTGTTTGTGGAACAATAAGCAAGGGGTCATTTCCTCCTTTCTACATAATCCCATATGTCCTCCTGGAGAGAAACTTAAAAGGGAGAACTGAATAAAGGGAGCAGGCAGATGGAGGTGAGGCGGCATCTTCTAAATTTGTGAGGTCTTTGACAGAAATTCTGAGCAGCCCAGACTTGATCTAACTGACAAGTTACTTCCATGCAAGACCAGCACCACTCACCATGAGCATCTATTGAAGCCGAGCACTGAGCTGGGCACCAGGACTCCGAGGTGCTTAGGACACTGCCCACCTGTCAAGATGCATGCATGCTCTAAAGACTTTCATGGGATACATTTTCCCTGAAGTGTGAAGATTTTAAAATTAGCTTGTTCAGGATGAAAGTGGAAAGTGTTATTTCTGGAATCATGTGGAATAGAAGCAAAGGTGAGAAGGAGCATCGAGAACAGGACGGTGTGTGGAGTGGGGTCAGACGCTTCTTATTTCCCTTTCACATTAGCAGTATTTCCTGGAGGTAAATCAGCACCAATCAGTCCACAAACATCATAAAATGTAATCCATAGGAATCTGTGGGAATGACTTATAACACAATGCTTTTGAGTAGAGTGCCTGACTCCTGTCACTCACTCTCTGACCTTGGAGAACTTGTTAAGCCTCTCTGTGCCTTAGTTTCCTCATCTGTAAAGTAAGAATAAGAATAGAACCTACCCCATATATTATTGAAAAGAAAAAATTAGCTAATGCATGCATAGCACTTGCTCACAGTAAGGGTTCAGTTAAATTACAGCAGATATTTATAGAGATGTAGGACAAAGTTACCATCAAGAGAAAAAAGAAATGCACTTTAAAAGATAAAGAATATTCAGGAGTTAAATAGCAACTTGAGGTTAAAAAAAAAGTAGCAGAGAGACTCATGGATGATTATTTGACTTGCATGGCATATGTAATGAGATGGTTCTAGAGAAGAGTTTAACAGGGACTGTGACAGTCTGGGAAGGTTTTATGAAGAAGGAAGTGTGGGGTGTGAGCCCTGACGTTTATGAAGAAGGAACAGAGAAGAGACAAAAGAGCATTTGGGGATCCTTGCCTGGGTCAACCCTGGCCAGCATGCATATGGACCAATCCCACCACCAAGAAGGAAGTAGTGACAACTGGGCAAGAAGGGCAGGGTGAGACGGGTTCCGGATGTCACATCGCCGGACAGCGCTCTAAAAAGCACATGCTGTTCCCTGTGTGCTAGAAACCAAAAGACTGCACTGCAGAGAGATGGCGAAATGTCTTGGCAATCTACCAGGGTGTCAGAGCTAACAGTACATCAGGAACTCACCCTGAAATCAGCTGGTTGGTAGAGCTGAGGTCAGAGCCAGACCCAGGCAGACCGCTGCTCTCCCAATGCTGCGGTCTCCATTCCAGAGCCTACTTCTGAGGCACCTTGTGTTCTGCAGAATGCTCTGCAAGATGATCTTATTCTGCATGACACCAAACAATTCTTTTTTTACTGTTGTACATAGAATTAATCTGTTGAGATTTGGATCTGGAATGTTCCTCAAAGGCCCATATGTTGAAGATGTGGTCTTCAGCCCATGGTGCTTTGGGGAGGCAGTAGAACCCTTAGGAGGTGAGGCCTGGAGTTAAGTCCTTGGAGGTGTGCCCTTAAAGGCTGTGTTAGGACCCCTGCCTCTTCCGCGCTCTCCTCTTTCCACCATGAGACGAGCAGGTGTGCACCACATCACACACTCCCACCGTGATGCTCTGCTTCACCACAGACCCAAAAACAATGGGGGTTAAGCAACCATGGACTGAAACCTCAAAGCTGTAAGCCAAAATAAGTCTTTCCTCCTCGCAGTAGATTATCTCAGGTATTTTGTCACAGTGATGGAAAATGGACTCTCACACAATCTTTGACTAAAAGATGCCTGCTGAAGAAGTTAAAAACTCACCTGTATGGCCAAGTCCCCAGGTGAACCACACTCATCCAGAGATGCAGTTTTCCTCCTCTAATGGGTTCTTCCCTCCTGG